GGCGTAGTGCAACGCGCTGTCACCCGTCTTTTAATTTGATTATTATTCTTATTCTTATTATTATTATTATTCACATTATTGTTATTTTTATTCATATTTTAAGACATTCTTTCCTCATTAATTCTTTGAGGCTTGAAGCTTAATTAGGTAAATGATGGAAATATTTCATTAAGTTACGATTGCATGTCTATTTTGTTTATTTTAATTTGTTTAAAAATTTTTTATTAGAATAGGCAATGGTGATTTTTGTACGCACAACTCAGAGGTTTTAATTACGAAACATATCAAGCTATGGTTGAACTTTGCGTTAGCATAAACTTCGATCTCTTTGCGTTCAAACCCTGTTCTTGCGAAGTAGGAAGAAGCACCTCTAACCATTACGCCATCTAGCTTCTAGTAAATAAGTAATAATTAAAATAAGTACAACTTACATTGTCAATACAGTTTGGATTAGCGTGGAAGTTGAGAAGAAGTTGTACAATTTCATCGTAGCCCTTGTCAGATGCTATGTGGAGGGCCGTTCTATTGTGCTGTGTTGTGTGTGTGTATGTGCGTGTGTGATTGATTGTTTGTATATGTTTTTTGTACATGTGTGCCTATGTGTATATCATATAAATTTCTCTCTGAGTGTAATGATTGCTAAAAAATGGTTGGTTAGGTACCTTTTCCAATTTTAAATGTATGCGTATTCTCACACAGAACGTCAATAAAAGACGACATACCATCATCTAGACATGTGTAGATCCAAAAGACAAACAGAAATACATACACCTACACGCATACACACACGCACGCACACAAACAAGCACACAGACAGACAAATAAACAACATCACGTACAATATCACCAGTGTTCATCTTGAATCCTTGCAAGCAATCGCCGACGAACTCAACGATGTGAGCTTGGTTGTTGGCTGTTGCGCAGTGCAATATGTTCATTCCTTGCTTGTTGTCAGGTGTTGTGTGGGTGGGTTAGTTGGTGTTTTTCAGATAAATTTATTCATTCATAATTCACTTTTGCATTAATTAATTCATTAATTCATTCACATAAGCATTACAACTGTTATAACCATTGATGATATTGTTGTAGAGTTGGAATGAGTCGTTTCAGTAAAAAATAATGATATAACCGGAGGCAGAAAAATATAAAGAAAACGTGATAAAAGAGAAACAGAGAAGAGAGAGAGAGAGAGAGAATATAGAAGAAAAAGTTATGCTGTACATACAAGCCAAGAGTATATCAGCTACCTTATTGCATTTGACGACATTTCCCTTGTACACCTTGGCCAAGCTGATGACCACTTGGCTGTGTCCGAACCAGGCTGCCCACAGAAGTGGTGTCATGCCGTACTGATGAAAAATGAGTGAGATTGTAATGAAAGTGAGTGAAAAAGAGAGATAAAGAGAAAGAGAGAGAGAGTAGAAGCTAAAAATGAATATAATGAACACGATTAGTTATTTATGTAAACTGTATATAAGAGAGAGAAAGAGAGAGAAAAAAAAGTGAGAGAAACAGAGACAGACGAACAGAGAGAGAGAGAGAACGAAAGATGGAAAAAAGTGAATTTGATAACAACAACACAAGTAACAACAAAAACATCATTCCGACTACAACAACGACAAAAACATCAACCATATTTTGAAAATTCTCACAACAACGGTAACAAAGACAACGAATCAACCTTATCTGGAACCTGCACGTCTGCCTTAATTTTGATAAGTGCATCAATTGCCTCGACATTGCCATTGGCCGCTGCCCAGTGTGCTGCCGTTCTGTCCAGCTGATGATAATAATTATTGTAATAATTAAATTAATTATGATTATAATTTGTAAATTATTATATTAATTATAACTATTATTCAGGGCTGGTAACGGAGTATCGCTATTGGCCGTATCGAGCTCTATACCAATACTTTTAATAAAAAAAATTAGAATACAGATAATAAGAATAATAATAGTAATAATAATATTAATAATTTAATAATAATAATTATAATAATAAACAATAATAATAATATTTTATTCTCTACTTCTACATCAGGCTTATCTTGGTATGGTTTTCGCTGTTTTACCAAATCGATCCATTCGTTCGACATTATGTTTAATTAAATTACGATAAAGATGATCTATAAGTTGTTAGAATGAAAATTATGATCATAATTTATGATAATATTAATAATTCTATTGTTATTATTTTCATCATTCGTTTCCATCCATTAGTTCTGATATCTGACTGGAGGAAATAACAACTGACAACTTGCACGAAAAGTTTTTGTTAATAAGTATCGATATATCGATGCACATATGCCACACATACGAGCGCACAACAGAGAAAAAGAGAGAGAGAGAAGAGAGAAACAAACACACAACGACCAAAAGAAAGAGAGAGTGAGAAGAAAGAGAAAGAGTATGTTTGGAAGAGAGAAGGAGAAAGCGAGAAGAAAGAGAAGGAAAGAATGTGAAAGAACAGTAACATTTAGTAAGATAAACAAAATAGGAGATAATGATAAAAAAGAGAGAGAAAAACAGGTGATGAGAAATTGCAAAAAAGTTGCTCACAAGCATAGCAACATCTCCACATCCGCTCTGCAAACCAGATGTCACACGATATGAGTTTGATAGCAATGTTAGTTATTGCTCGCTAATATGTTTATTTATTTTGATCAATACTATAAATATGAATGGTGTATGAATATATGTAAAGGTAAATAAATGTTTATATTTATATTAAAATGAATGCTGCGGATGTTATGGTATTTATGATTTGCAGCAAGGCAACAAATTAAATGCATAATGTGTAACAATCCATCGATAAGTTTAATATCAATGAACTTATCTTTAAGAAAATGTACAGGTTCTCTATGAGATGTTTATCAATTAAATCGCGGAGAACAATCCCTTCAAAACATACGTATATTAATTTACGGTACCTAATACTACTAAAACTATTACTTCTAAGATGATTAATACTTTTGCTAGTAAAGTAGCAGAAGTACAACAATAACAATAATAATAGCAACGGCAAATATCAGTACTAAAAATAATATAAATAACAACCTTATTAATAATAATGACGTCATGGTACTAACGCTATTTTTAGAATTGACGTCAACATCGAGTTTCTGGACGAGGGCCTTGAGGTACTGGGTGTTGTTTTTACGGGCCGCCTCGTACAAAAGGGTTTGGAAGGGCTTAGCTGAGGAAAAAATTCTTTTTATATTTTTATTAGTAGTAGCAGCAGTAGCAACAACAACAACAAGAGGCCAGAGGCAACAACATCTGTAGTAGTAGTGGTTGTTGTTGTAGTAGTTGTTGTAGTAGTAGTAGTGGCCACAACACCAGCAGCAACAACAATAGTAGTTGTAGTAATAGTAGTAGTAGTAGTAGTAAGTAGCAGCAACATTTAAAATAGAAATTTTCAATATAAAAATTGTACGCACACAGCTCCAAGCCTCACTAACGTTCAGACGTCTGTAGCAGAGTTGAAAGGTCACAATTTTGATCCGGATCAACTTCGTACTCGTCAAAATCCCCGAATGTTGTGACGCTTAAGTTTTCTCCGGACACGGATTTTATCATTTTTGAATTATTTCGTGAGAAATTCAATTAAAAAAGTGGTAGTAGTAGCTGCAGCAGTAGAAGTAGCAGTAGTAGTAGCAGTAGTAGAAGTAGTAGTTCTAATCGTAGTAGTAGTGGTTGTAGTAGTAGTAATTAGTAACAGCAGCAGTAGTAGTAGCTGTAAGTATTATTAATTTATCTAAATCTATTCATATACCGTTAAATAAGCTGTTTGTTAACACTGTTCATTTAAATGTTTTCATAGAATCACTGGAATACTATGCAGAAAATTGATCCTAATTCGATTTATGTTTAATTTCCCATTTTAATAAACATCTTATATACATTTTTGTACAAGTTGCTATCAGATTATCCACCTTTACAGCAATGTTTATAAGGATGTTAAATACTTAACAACGCTTATAACAAAGATAACAATACTAAAATAACATGTACAGTATATGATTCATATATATGTTTTGTATATCTATTGTTAATACTTGATGCATGTTGACTATAACTATACACGCACACACACACAAACACATCCACATACGTTATTAATATTAAAAGAATGTAACAAATACATACATACATCAAATACTGTTTGATATTTGCTGTTTACTTAGACAAACTAACAATTAAATGCCAATGTTTAACAACAGGTAAAACTCTTGCATAAACATTTCATTGTTAGGCTTAGTGCTTGTGAAGTTCTCGTAGCTGTAAACTTACTCTTCGCAATAATAATAACAATAATTTTAACAAAAAAAATAATAAAAAGTAATAATACTTTTTATATAAATTGGCTTATTGAATTAATGAAATCAGAGCAACTAAATATATTTTATTTATATACGAAGCTACAGATTAGTTGAAACATTTTTACAAATCTCATTGGTAAACACAAACAGATACGCACGCACGCACACGCATACTCCCACAGAGATTGTTCACACCAAATTTGTGTAATTTTAAACCACTGCTTCATGAAAATAACAACTGCCCTATAATGTTAACTCAACTAAAATGCTTAACCACACACACCCTTCGCAATCGACGTGTTTGATTTTGAAACAAGCATTTTTTGAAGTTTAATTTCATTGAATTTTTTTAAATTAAAAACACACACTTGACATTTCAATTTTATTCCTTAATGTTAAAAACTGTTGAATTAAAAGATTTAGGAATGAACATGACTTGGTTAGAATCGTTAAAAGCTGAAAACTCAGGTTGAAATTGGCAAAACACCTTTTTTTATATAGGCATAAAAGAGTGGCCCAACTCGCAAAGAAAAAATTCAGTTCAATTCACAGTAAATGTTCATAGTTGGTTATTGTTTTGTAAAGTTTTACAGCAGCTGTTTATTTTGCAGTTTTACAATTAATATCAAAAATAGATCACCATCCTCTCCCCGTATAAAAATTGAAATAGTCCCTAAACTATGCCTTAGCCAATAATGCAATAATGCCATAATTCAATGCGGATGAAAGAATAACCAAGGCTCGATGTTTTCTCGTTTTCGATGCTCCCCCAAACAGCTGTAGGTAGTTGATAATTATGCGACGTCTAATCCTCCATATCAGCTCTGATGCAACTTCCATAATTTCTCCAACTTTCTCAAAGTGTCTCAACAATTCTGGATTAGCACGTATTATAGGTTCGGCTTCTTTTCGACTGGAAAGTCCATTTTTTGCCATCACAAATCTTTCACCTCTTTCACCAATGGCCAGTGTTGAGTGATATAATTCACTCAGTTTCGGTACAACTGATCTGCCCATGAACCTATACCGCCACGCCCACCATTTCTTTGACTCCTGCTCCTTCACCCTAATTTCTTCAGTTATTTCTATCCACTCAGGATCGTTCAAATACGGCAGGCTTGCTCTTGCTCGAGTTCTCCTCCTCTGCATTCTGATGTCAACTCAATTCAATCAGTTCGTGTAAATTCAGCTAAATATATTAACAGGTAGACAGCTTACTCCGGGCAGCGCAATGTTCAATATTTGGCTTTATAAAAAAGGTTCAGTTTTAGACGACCAACAATGGTAGACGGCTTTATTATAACAGCGCAGAAACTAGTTGACTTTATAAGGCAGTTTGTTCACTTTGGCTATTCTTCGCTGATTTCTGTTAGAGATGAAGTATTTTAAATGTAAAAACTTTACCGAATGATGTGAAATATAATCAAAAATACTGAATAATAGAATTATACAAATATTTAATATAACAAGAAACATAAGATAATAAAATTTAATAAAATAATATAACAACTTTGATCAGGGGAGGGGAAAATTGTCTCGCCTGGTATAAAGTATGTTCACCGTTTTACACGAATGAGAGCCACGAAAAATGAGATGAATCCCAACTGTATTACTATCGTGGTAATGAATTTCATCTATATATTAGCGTAATAATCAAATCCACACATACAGAGTCAACTAGAAACGCGAGAAGTAGTGCTGAAGGGAATTTTTTAATGAGAAACAGAGCGGTAAAGTTGTGATCAAAACTTGAATTTGAAGAAATTTTTGTTCAAAACTTTTTATACAACTGTACTACGTAAACGATTCAAAATTTTTGGATTAACCATGCAAAAATTTCTTACGTTATTATTACTTATTTTGAGGCTACAGATTATGCGTTTAAATACAAAATCATCTGATCTTGCGTCATCGTTAAATAATTTCATTAAATGAAATATTATACAAAAATGTTTCAGTTTGGAGAATATGAATATAAAATTTTTAACCAATTAAATCAAATTTTAATATTCAAAACAATTTCAATCATCCGAATCTATCTTAAATGCATTGAAAGTTAAGAATAAATAAACTAAAAAAATAATAAAACAACCCAATAGTATTTACATGGAGCTTTACAGATAACGAGCCAATGATGATCTTTTAGTATTAGTCGTTGATTCTGTCGGTGGTTCGTTAGTATAAACAATATCTATACAACAAAATGAACGTTAAAATTGGTTTTAAGCGTCACGTTGAAAAATCTGTAGTCAATGAAGCTTAAAATAATGGCAGACATCGTTCCAATTTTACAACATTTAATTTTCCCGACATTTAGATAACACTAGAGCACCCCAGAGGCAATATTAAATCGCTCTTATAATGTAGTGTCGTAGAAAAAATACTTATATAAACAAAGTTGAAAGACATAAGTTCACATTTTAAGAAGCCGACATTTTAATTCCAAATTCTTTCACTTATTATATATACTTGATAATTATTACATTAATTATAATTTAAGTAAGTTTATATAAATTTAAAATGCCATGTTTTCACGAAAAATGAAATTGTTTGCATGAACAAAAATGTTTTAAAGTTTGTATAACTACGTATATTTATATCAGCCTAGGTTTTTAGACATAGCCCTTCTAAATAATTTGTAGCATATGTATCTTATTATTTTAGGGGCTCTACTTTTTTTGGCTGGTTTGGTGTTTTCAAAAATTAGTGCAACCGCAACAGTGGTGTAAATTTTAAGTTTTAAAAATAATTAAGTTGGCCGCGACTATGAAGAGAACAACTTGAAAAATATTTTTTGAGAATAGTTTGAAAACTATTTGTAATATTTATTGCTTTCTCTGTAAAATATTTTTGTAAAGTTTCAGCAGCTCGCGCCATTCATTTAAGCATAGCAAAGGATTAAAATTTCGAATTCTCAGGTAAACTTGAACCCGCGCCATAAACCAACCAGTTTCAAAAAATTTGGCCAAAAAACTCTGAAAATTTCATTTCTAATAAAAGCAAAAATGGATGAGAAATAATTAAAAAACTAATTTAAAACAAAACATAACAAAATATTCGAACCTTTCGACTGCGATGTTGGTTCACGTGCGTCTCACCTGGTTATGAGAAATAGAAAAAAATCAAGCATTAACTTTTTTCAAGCGCAATCTCAGTTTTTGATGATTTGCACATTCATTTCTATAGCGCTTTAATTTCACTTTCATTTTTTTGTTAGTTTAATGAACTCCATAATAACACGGAAATATTTGAATACATTTAAAGCATGCACGCACGCACGCAAGCAAGCAGATATCAAAACTTAAACACACACACACACAAAAACCCGCAAACTCGCAAACACAGACAAACTTTCCTATACACATGTCTATAACATGAATTCTTGTATAATAAATAAAAATCTACGGTATCCACATACATTTACACTTAAACATGCAAACACACACACACACACACATATATATATATATACACACACATACACACACACAACATACACATACATACTATTAAATGCAATGTTGAATGCTAATATTTGGGATTAATATAAGCAGTTTAGTGTATAACAACCATTTATAAATGTCGGATAAGCTAGAATTTTTATGACGTTGAGGTTATTGTTGATATCTTTTGAGATTACAAGTATCTATTACACTAATACAAGTATCTTTCTGTTTACCTTTTGTGTCTTTGAAGAAATAAATCTTTTGAGATACAATCAAAATAGAATAGATAGTAGCCATTTTTTTTATTTTTGTTGAAATAAATCCTTGTCTGAGACAAAAATTTTTCACGTAAACAATCTAATAAAATTTTCTGACTTATAGCAGCATGAATTATTTTTGAGTTTAGGACTCAATCGTTGTATCCAACAAACACACACATCCTTCTCAGGCGTGTCTGTGTTTAATTTTAATGCATCAAGTTAGTAATAAATTTTATCGATCTAAATTAGATGTAAATTTTATTTGGTTTAGTTTTGAATTTTAGTTGATGCCACGTAAACAAAGCGATGATTGCAGTAAATTATCCTATGTAAAACGCGCTAAAGATGTAATAAAAGGTGGTTTTAACAAAGAGTGACCATAAAAATACTTTGACAAAGTAATCAGTTAAACTCGAGTAAATCATCTACGTAAAACGCGTATTATTTACGCTTTAGTTAACGAGGTTGTGATGCCAGATGATAACTTTAATTAATTTCAATTAATTATTAACTTTAATTAATGTATTTACTGCTATTAATAAACTTTTACAACCTAATTTTAGTTGGTGTCTTGTAATAAATGCAGTTTTAGTAGAGGAACTTTGTAATAATAAAACAAAGTGATGGCTAATTGATTGCATATAAGAAGTGCTGAATTATTGTAACAGCATTCACGCCACAACAATCAGTTTATCGACGTTTCTAAACTTTCATTTAAATTATTTTTCAACCACAAGAATGAAACGCGGAAGGCAACAAGATCAACAAATGGACACATTTTATAATGATATTTCAATTATAAACGAATTTGAAAAAATGGGTAGGTCAAAAATAGTAAAGCTAGCAAAAAGCAAAAAATCCCAGTCCATGGAAAAGGTATTGGTGTTGTCGGAAACACTGAAAGTTATGCAGAATTGGGTCATCTACGATCCAAGATATCTGCATTCAAGAGTTTTTAAAACAGCAATAAGACGGCTAAGTAGCAAACCTGAACAGACACTGATAGGAAAAATAATATCGTCAATGTCATTTCAGGCATTACTTGAGAGACTGCCGGATTTTTCTAGTAGAAGGACTAGAAAACAAATTGAAGAGGGAAAGTATTGCGACGACGATGACGATTTAAAAACGAATTGGTCATCGCGATGGAGCAATCAATGGAAACTGACTGTGGACTGATTGAAGATGACCAAGAAGAGTGGATGGATGTAGAATGACTAATATTTGTGAATATTATTTATTTAACTTTTTCGCTTTTGTTCTTTAATTTTTTCAATTTAAATAAATAATTCTTATTAACCAAAGGCGTTGTTTATTAAAGATCAACTAACTTCTAAATAAAGGCAAACTTTTTAATGTACACAGAAAATGTATGTATTTAAATGTAGTCATTATAGACATCGCTTAATGACCCTTAAGAAACGCATGCTTGTGCATACATGATGACGCATATATTCTGCGTAACCAAAATATTTGTAACATCTTTTTTTAGCTATAGAAGCAGTATTTTTTGATGGTCCGGTTTGATTTGGCGTTTAAACTTGATCCTTTCCCGTAATGAAGTTCTATATTGTTTGAGTAATTTAGATTTAAAATTTTATAGTGTTGGGGATCGTCCTCACCATCCACGAGAATTTCACACACTGAATCGCAATATCTGGTTTTGCAGAAGACTAAAAATTTGACGCAAAATCAATTTCAGTGTGAAATTGGTTTAATTTGCTACCAGATAAATTGAAATTATTTGGCACATTTACATTAAATGCTTATAGAGAATAGTAACTCCAGTTGAAGAAAAACCATTGAATTAAATATAGAAAGTAAAATGGAACGTTGTTATGGAATTACAACGGGAGAGTTCGATAGGGCAGTTCCAGTTTAAAATGACTCCTCTGTTTGCAAAATTCATTGAGGAGCGCTTTCAACATCGCGGAAATGGCGCTTTATAAACTAATTGATTGATTGATTGGTAGGTCCATTTTGAATGGTATACCAAGCGTTTATAAAATATGTTTTACGAGGCTCTACACATACGATAACATTTTTCCTAAAATAAAACACCCCACAAAAAAATAAATTAACTAAAAAAATTCGCCTATATTTATGTAAGTAGGTGATTTATGAACATGAGGTGTAAATAACTTCAGTATTGAGACGTTTTACGCAAATAACTACCTGAAACTCAAAATTAAATCTCATAAATATTAATTCATTAATCAAAACAAATACATTTTTAATCTGAAATGTGTTAAGACTCAAGAATGAAAAGAATGAATTTGAATACCATCGTAAGTAAACTAATTAGTTGAAGTTATAACAAGTTAAATGTCAACTTCTTCCTTACAAATCTTTCAACTGGATTTGCGTATCATCTAGAATTCAAAATATGACATTTCAAAGTCAAATTTTCAAACAAAACAAAGAAATCCACTGAAACTACTAACCTCTTCATGTAAGGCGGGTTAAAAAGCTCTAGGAACCAAAGCTTCTTTCGTAAACGAAACGCGCACATGAAGGGCTTAACTAAGTTAAGCTATCAACAGCTGTCAAATATTAGTTTAGTAACATAAAAAAAACTATAACCAAATGATTTGACGTTAAATTAAAAAATATTAATAAGAAATAAATTTAGAAATTCGCATTAGAAATGAAACACCATAGCAGAACTATATATTTTCATAATTAAATTAACAAAACGAAAGTACTGGAAACCCCAATTTACCAAAATAACTAACGATTAAACTTATTAAAAGTAAACTTTTTTTAATTGATTCTTATTTTTAAAATACCGCAAAAAGCTGGCCTAAGCTGGACAGTAAAGAGGAAAAAGATTGTGATAAAAATTTCTTTTTTACAGGGATAAATTTAAGGTCACTTAACTTTACACTTTGTTAAGTAATAATAAAATAAGTTGTTAGAATGCGTTTTATTCACATTTTGATTCTAACCTTTGATCTCCACTCTCTACCTACATTTTTTATTATTATTGGTTCTTACTTAGTTCTGGTGCTCTCGACTTAACTCTTCTCGAGCTATGCTGGTTTGCTTGGTAGTTTAATGAATTGCCTGGCTAATAATTTACAATCGTGCTAGTAACCTTTGCTTCATCTTGAAATAAGATAATAAAAAATGCCATACTTAACTATAACTAGTTAACTTACTTTGTCCTTTTCGTTTAGTAATTTAGTTTAGTTAGACTTTAGAGCTTTAGACAGACTAGAATTTATTAAATTTTTTATAAGTTGTATGCAGAACTAACTGAGATTGCCTTACTTTTACATTCTTTTGCAAGAAGATTGATCTGTTGTAGATTTAAAATTTAAATACTATATAATTATTACGATTACTAGTTCCAAAAAAAAGGTTTTCACTTTTTAAATTATTTTTTATAGTTTATTTTATAGACATACAGTAAAGTTGTTAGTTAAATGAACTAGTAATTTGAATAAATAAACTTGATTGTTAATTTTAAATAGAGCACTAACTAAAAAGAATGAAGGCAAGAAAATGGATTCTCATGCAACAGTTTGATGGTTTTCCTAAGCTGACAGATCTGAAACTAGTAGAGGAGGATTTACCTTCACTGAAAGATGATGGTAAAAGTATTAGCATGTTGATTGATTAAATGATGAATGAGTGAAATAAATTTAAATAAATTATGAAACATATTTTGAAATATTCAAAAATTAAATTAAAATTTTTTTAGAGATTCTTATAGAAGCTCTGTTTCTTAGCCTTGATCCATACATGAGGTTTTGTTTCTAATAAAAATTCAGTACTTTTTCTTACCAAATTCTACACTAACATTCTTCTAAAACTCTCTAAACTACAAAAGGCAGATGAAATTAATTCATGATTAATTTAGCTCTGAATATTTATTTTGTTTCTATTTCGTTGATTTTTACGTTTTAAAATTAATTCAAGCTAGGTTTTTTTCTGTACACTACCTGAGTACATTGATTTTAACCAACACGCAATAATTAGTTGTGTTTTGTGTTATTGCATAGAAAATTTGAAATTTAAAATGGTATAAATTACAAACTCTATATATATTATACATATACAATGTATATTATACATGTATAGTATTAACTTTATTTTATGTATCTTTATTAAGATCTGTATTTTAATTGCCAAACTGTGGTTGTGTATGCTTTAGTTATTATGTATAAATGTTTTATTAGGCCATTTTCGAAAGCTCTACCAGATGGTTCAACAATGATTGGCACCCAAGTTGCCAAGTAACTAATTTTTTTTAATTTAATAATTATTTGATTATATTACTTAATTATACTTAATGATAATATTTAAAATTATTTATTTATGTCATGTTTCAATCACATATGGCGTGTTGATACTAATTTTTCCACGAAACATCAAAGAGTCGTGGAAAGCAAGAACTCGGATTTTCCAGTTGGAACGATGGTAATTGCAGATTGTGGATGGAGGGATAGATCCGTCCTTAGTCCCAAAACGACGAAGATCCAAAAAATGTGGGATACAGGCAAACATAGCCCTTCTCTTTCCCTTGGACTTGTTGGCATGCCAGGGTTTTTATTACTATATAAAAATTTGATATTGGTTAATTCAGAAAAATTATTTACTAAATGATTTTTGGTTTCTCATAAGAAACTTTTTGTAGATTAAAAAAATTACGTTTTTTAGACCTTAAGACCTTAGACCATAACATGACATGACATGGCATAATGAACTCAAACTCTAGGGAGCCAATATAATTAAGTAATGTTTACACGCATGCATACATTTAAATATAACTATTCTCTCATAACATATATGAATTGCTTTTTTTTTATTTGCAGACAATCTGCCTATGTTGGCTTGTTAACAATCTGCAACCCACAACCTGGGGAGACGATTTTCGTCAATTCTTCTGCTGGCATTGTTGGCGCCATCGTTGGACAGATTGGAAAGATTAAGGTTCACCTGTTTATTAACATTTAAAAATCTTTAAACTTCCGTTGAAACGAAATTTACCTAGAACAAATTATTTGGAGTATTATTCATTGAATTTGACATTTCCACAGGGCTGTAGGGTGATTGGTTGCGCGGGTACGGTTGAGAAGTGCAAGGAGGTTAAGGAGCAGTACGGGTTTGATTACGTCTTCAATTACAAGACGTGCAACTTGAATGAAGCTCTCAGAACGGCAGCTCCGAATGGCATAGATTGCTACTTTGACAACGTAAGCCACTTTAATAACTAGCTTTCATTCAATTATTAATTAAAAAGTAGCATGGGAAATTATTATTTTGCATCTTTACATGTTTTTTTCTTTAATAATAATAATAATATTAAAATACACTTTACACCCCTTAGGTTGGAGGTCAAATGTCAGTTGAGGTCATTTTTAACCATCTAAACCAAAAGGGCCGAATTGCTTGTTGTGGCAATCTCTCTGCTTACAATGCAAAAGAACAACAAACTGGTTAGATTACAATTGCTGGTATGAAAAAATTTCAACAGTTACAAAAATATTTCTCTATAATTATGTTCATCACTTAGGTCCGTTGTTTTTCTTTGAATTCGTGAGAAAGGAGTTGAAGATGGAGGGATTCATGATTTACAGTTACGAAGAGAAGTTGCCAGCGGCCAGTGCTCAACTTCTGAAGTGGCACGATGAGGTGTGCATGCACCTTATTTCATTATTTCAATACTCTGTATCAGATTTTTATTTTGCTTTTTTTGAAACAAGTGCATTTATCTTCCGGAAGTTGTGTTTTTGTTATTAGTGATCAACATCATAATCTGCCGTTGATATCAATGTTCTTTTTTTACAAATCTGAAGGGCAAATTGAAGATAAATGAGGTAGTGGTTGATGGCTTTGAGAACATGCCTCAGGCCTTCATCGATTTCCTCAGAGGATCGTACAACGGAAAAGTCGTCATTAAAGCTTAACTTTTTAAAGATATCTCCTCCCCAGTTTTGCATATATTGTTTTGATTATCACACATAGAATTGAGAAGATGGCTTAATAAAAACATTTCCTCTTTCCATTATTATCATTATTTTATTTCACAAAAATGACGAAAACTTTTTTGAAAACGTCGACACAAAATGGAAATGAAACTTGATTAAAATGTTGACAGGATGAAAAAGCTTAAGGAAAGTATTCGATGTACGTTATTTAGCCGAGAACCACTGTGATTTGAACAACAGAATTTTCAAATTCATCAACGTTAATGAACATTCAGTACAAAGCATCACAAAAATATAGTTAGTCTTTAAACTGGTTGCCACATTAAATTTCCGAACTGGTGATCCTGATAAAGTCTTTCGTTATTTTGTCGACTGCCTCTCTAAGATGCGGAGGGACCTGGTTGAGACGTTCGATCGTCGTTTCCACGTTCGTACTCACGTGGTCTCGTTCGCCGTCGTTCGTCATCTGTTTGTTCACCTTGCATCTCATGATCACTCTGCAATTTTGATAAAATTTACAATTTCACCTCAATTATTTGAATTTTTAGTTAATAATAATCGTAAACCGCACATACTTTGCGTACTTATCTTCTGAGTTGATGGTTGTCGGGTCGTCTGTAAGTGAGGGAAGCAGTTTAAATTCTTAAGATGCCTTACGTGTGCAATGCAATATAGGAGCGAGAAAATTATAAACATATAAAGACATATTCATTTAGAAAACTTTCTAATACACCGAAGCTATATCAAAATAGATTTTGTCAGATTTATGATGGTGTTTGCTGATAAATGAGAAGTGTTTTTGTTTTATCACTCAGATGCATCAACCACACACGCGCGCACGCACGCACTTAATTAACGTATCACACACATTTGCGTGTGATAGCCTGTGCGGTTCAACACACTCTAAACATTACACCGTCTCGTAATCATAATTTCAAATGAATAACCTCTGTCGTGTTCGCCATTGGTCCAATAATCTAGAAAATATTTTTAAAACGGCACGAATTTAATAGAGGAATTTAACGTGGGAGTGTCTCATACTTGTCTCATCATCTGTCTCATGTCTCATCATCTGTCTTATCATCTGTCTCATCATCTGTCTCATGTCTCATCATCTGTCTCATCATCTGTCTCATCATCTGTCTCATCATCTGTCTCATCATCTGTCTCATCATCTGTCTCATCATCTGTCTCATCATCTGTCTCATCATCTGTCTCATCATCTGTCTCATCATCTGTCTCATCATCTGTCTCATCATCTGTCTCATCATCTGTCTCATCATCTGTCTCATCATCTGTCTCATGTCTCATCATCTGTCTTATCATCTGTCTCATCATCTGTCTCATGTCTCATCATCTGTCTTATCATCTGTCTCATCATCTGTCTCATGTCTCATCATCTGTCTCATCATCTGTCTCATCATCTGTCTCATCATCTGTCTCATCATCTGTCTCATCATCTGTCTCATCATCTGTCTCATGTCTCATCATCTGTCTCATGTCTCTTTATCACTCCTCCAATTTTTCATTCACCTCTGCAATCGTCAAACTGTTCGTCACATTTTTCTGGCTCTAGAATTAAATAATTTGTCAATAAACATGGTTATATTGGTTATTTACTGTATTTATTGTGTATTTAAATAATATTGAATTAGTAATTGATGCGTTCGCTAACCGCTTGCCTGCTTGGATGGAATCGAAGATAAGGTAGCGGACGGCTGGAATGCACTCCCGCTAATGTTCGTAGCTTCAGGGTGGGTACATTAAAATAACGCTATCATAAAAATATATTGGCAAAAATATTTAAAAAAATTATGCAAATTTAAATTAATATTTACTAATTACGTAAAATACTATTGGCATAAAGTTTGGAAAATCATTTTGATGAATTTCTAAATTAGGATCGGTTTCTAACATGTTGAATTTATCGTTGAATCTGATGGCATGCAATGCAGGGCACTGTCGACATCTTCGAATTTGTGGATTGGAGTTGGAAAGATTTTTGTATCTGCGTCATAAATCAGCATAAGTTAGATGTTGATGTGATCTTAACTTTTATTCACGTTAATGTAATATTCATTTTTATTATGATGTAACAATTTTTTGCATTGCTTGAATTGTTTTTCAAACCTTGTTCCGAAGTAACACTAACAACTGGAACGGATTGCGTATGGCTGTATGTGTTCACCTTCACAGTCAGGCCCTCGCATTCAGTCTTGCTGACATCAGATGTTGATCTAGCAGTGCCCTCCACATGCTTCTGCTGAGTTTCAATTTAAAAATTAATTTAAGAATATCCATCGAGTGGATTATTGCCTCACCTTCAAGGCACTATCTACGATGTTCAGATGGATGTTCTCATCATCGAGACTTTTTTTGGGATTCATGATCTGAGATTCCGTGAAAATTCTGTTCCTTTGCGGGTCGGTTGATGACAAATATGTCGGCAGTTTTTTGTACTGGACACAAGAGAATGAAATAATTATTTAGTTTACTACTGCTTTTTTTGGTTTCATAAATTTTGTAACATGTTAAACCAGATTTATTATTTGAACGATCAGCCCCACCTTGTAACTGTTGCTGTTGTCGTTGAGAGCTCCGTGGCTTTCTAACAACGACATCATTTCTACGTGCTCCATTTTTTTGGCTATGTCCAATGCAGTCAAACCGTTCTTAAAGTTATCATTCAAAGGTTTAAAATGTGTTGTTATTTTAATTGCTTGTTTGAACTTCAAATGCAGAAATGAAAAAATCCGAATTTTTACCGAATTTTAAATTATGCATACAGAAACATAATTAAATGAGATACATTTCATCAAATGACCTTGGTCCTAGCGTTCACGTTGCATTTTCTACCCAATAGGGATCGAGCGGATTTGAGACTGTTGAAATAAGCGGCTATGTGCAGTGGTGTGAAACCGTCCTGTATGTATGTATGTATGTATGATCTGTCCAAGTTAAATTTGGACAGTGTTATAAAATTTCATTTAGCAAGGAATGCTATTAAGTTGAATTTATCTAGATAGTTAGTTGATACTCACGAATATTTATCTTGAATTGAATAAAAAATTAGGGAGGTGAAACCTTAGTAATGTCTTCAATGGAGGCGTCATTGTTCAGCAGCACATCTGCACATTCTTTGTAGTCCTCTTGGACCGCCATGTGCAGTGGACTGAAGCCATGACATGATTTCGGATGAATGCTGCTTCCCGAACTTATCAGCGTCTGCAACTCTGTCACATTTCCTCTTTTTGCCGCGCAATGAAGCGCTGTTAGACCTTCCTAAATTGTAATTATTCAAGAAAATAAATTTGTTTTTCATTGACTGGAAGACATTTTACATTGGTTTTCCTTTTTTAAATAGCTTATCGATTAGAATCTTAGTGTTACTAAGTAAATTTTAAAAAATGACAAATTCTTAAAACTATAGTGAGAAAAAGTGCTCGTCAGTAATAACGTAAAGTTACCTGAGTCTCAAGTTCCTTGTCAGCATTGGCGTTCAGCAGTATGGACAATATATCTCCATGCCCTTCATTGCTTGCTACGTGCAGGGCGCTGATTCCCAGCTGAGTGTACAAAATGATTTCAGTCAGTGGAAACAATTCAATTAGAAAATGTATGAATGTAAATCGTGGCCCTTTTTTCATTTGTACAGATATTAATTTACATATCTTGCTTAAATATTCATCTAATGTTGTCTGTTACATTATATTAAAATTTCTCGGAAGAATACATTTACCAACGCAAGCGAACAAAAACAAACTAATTTTTTACATTGTAAGATGTAGAAATTGTTCAGTTAAAAACAGACGAACGAACGATGAACGAACGAACAAACAAACAAGCACAAACATTGGATTGTTCGTCAATTGCTGAACCATGCTTGATGAGGTAGCTGACGAAATCTTTGTGGCCGAAATGTGTGGCGTAGTGTAGAGGAGTGAAGCCGAGCTGAGAGAAATTTTCAAATAAAAATTATTCGATTTTTTCAATTGTTTAATCATTTGAAAAAGTTTTCAAAGTTTCCAAATTGGAATGATTTCCTTGTATCATTTGGAAAATTGAAAAATTTATATGAACGTAACACATTTTCCTCTTAAAATTAATTAGAATAATTGAAAAATAAAATAGCAAACAAATTTACAAGATTCAAACACCGAGCAATTCAAACCTTAGACTTTTCATTAACATCGTATCCATCTTCGACGAGCAACTTCAAAGCCTTCATGTCACCATTTTTTGCCAGCATGTGCATGGCCGATGGGATCATCTTACTCTGCCTGGCTTCATTCTCTAAAAGGTAGGCAACTACGTTCGTTTGTTCTTCTTTCAAGGCTATGTCGTATGGTTTGTAACAACCCTAAGGTTTACGGTGGTAAAGCGACGTAATAATGACGTTCTACTGCTACTACTACCACTACTACTACCACGACTACTACTACTACTACCACTACTACTACTACTACTACTACTACTACTACTACTTTAGGTATTACAGCTATATATTACTACTATACTACTACTACTACTACTACTACTATTACTACTACTACTACTACTACTATTACTACTACTACTACTAATACTACTACTACTACTTCCATTGCTACTACTACTTCTACTAATGCAGCTGCTACTACTACAACCACTGCTTTTCTTGCTGAATTTATAATAAACCTGGGAAGGCATGTTTGGATCAGCTCCATTATTAACGAGATATTCGACTACTTCTAGCCATCCCTTTTGACTCGCCAAGTACAAGGGAGTGAATGATTCATCCTAACGGAAATGTTTGATATTCGTTATGTACCGTACCGATTATTACGAGTTGAGTACATCTCTAATCAATAACATTAAAATTTCATACGTAAAGTAGTGAAGAAGCTAAATTATGCTCTAAGAAAAGTATTTGTAAATATAATAAAATTATTATAATTTAAACTGTAATTACATAAACCAAAATTTGTAATGAAATCATTTAAATATAATCGTTAAAACAATAGAGACCAACTTTTGTTTTCAGGTTGACGGCAGCTCCATGAGCCACCAACTCCTTCACCACATCCAAATTACCCTCAAAAGCAGCAAAACTCAGCGCTGTGTTTCCTTTCTGTGAAATATTTTTTCAATTAAAAAAAAACCATTATCTGGCATAGGCAGAATCTGTTCCACTATGCAAAATTCCAAATAAAATATTGTGATACAATGGAAACGAACTGAAGAAAGATATATTAATTTTGGATAAAAAATCCCAAAAGCAAACGTGTTGTAGTAGCATAATTAACCGTGGTTGCATAATTAACATCGGCTCCTCTATGAAGCAGGTATGAAACGAGGTGTGCGTGTCCACCTTTCGAGGCCAGGTGTAAGCTGGTCAGTCCGACCTACGATGTTCAAAATTGTTACCGTTGAATTAAATTTTCATCTTAAACTATCTATTTTATTTTTATTATTAATTATTCTCTTTTAACAAATTTTTAGAGTTGTAGAAAAATAAAGTAATTATGAAATCAAGAATCGCATGAAACCGAGTTGGAAAGATTGATGTTTTGTGGTTTCCTCTTCAAGT